TTGGCTCCACGTACCGCTGATGACGAACCCGGGTTTCACCCGGGTGAACGCGTGCGGCTGATGACCGTCGGTCACTCGTGATCCAGCAAGTGTTGCCGCAAGGTCTGCTGCAATTCTTTCACCTGCTCCTGTGGCTTGCCACCACGTGGAGGTGCCCAATGAGTTTCATGAGTGCATACTATATGTTATACAAGAGTACATAAAAATCCCAGATGTTCTACATATGTTCTACATATATGTTCTAGTATGTGAAATCTCCTGAGTACATACTTCACCTAAAGTTCCTCTGTTCTTTTTTCTGGAAGCCAAGACTGGCGATACCCCACACTCTGGGCAAAGGAGGAAGGAGCCACCCCGACACAAGTGTCTCGCATGGACGGATTTGATCATGCACGGACCTAGAGTAGATGGACAAACACATGATATTCAAACCCTGCAGCTCTCTTGGGCTGTGGGCGTCTATGTCAACATCGATACTTGAGTGGGGAGCAAAGGGTTTTGAGCCGACTGGTTACAGTACAGGTTTGATGAGTTTGTCATAAGTCCATCTATTATACGATAGGGTAGGATAGGATATGATGTTTGGATATGTTTGGGGCCCTTGAAGCCTTGCATCCACACAATGAGGAACAATCCAGCTTCTTCAAAGTGACCTTTTAAGGGTCCATAAGAAAAGGTTCAAATGACGCCAAGTGACCTCAACCCAGAATCTCAAAGGTGTCACTTTGAACCAGGATATGGAACAATATGATACAATATGCACACTTCAATGAATAGTACGAAAATCTTCGAGGCAGCAATGCGTACAGTTCTTGAGACTGATGAAATGATGATCCAAAGCCGGAACTATCTCACAAAAATGCAGGATTTGATTTGATTCGATAGTGTAGATGTGTGGTACGGACATACCAAAATTCAGCTTTTCAAGAGCTTTTCTTGACGGTGTGACGGGCAATGCCTGGTCAGGCGAGTCTATGAAAGGCTAGCCGCTATGCTTCATGGTGTGTGGATCCAGTCCTCTTGGCCCTTGGCTTGTGCTTCGGTGAGCCGCTTTTTACAGCTCTTCATCTTCCGTTCCTGGGCACAACAACGGCGCCTTTCCTTTGGGCTGCGGGCAAAAATCCGTGGGGTCTGTGATCAGATTCGAACACCAATGGAGCCGAACACCAATGGGGTCTTCATCTGCTTTCAGTCCTATATGACCTCAATCGGTCCTAGGAATCCGGAATCGCGCTGCTTTGAGTCCATCGGCTGGATTCGGACTCCGGTTCGCAAGACCTGGTGATCATTACGCACACAGAAACTGATACTGGCTCATCTTCTGGATCATATCTTCCTCGACAACCTGTGAAATCTGGCTGGTAGGATCTGTGAAAAAACAAAGACCTTAAAGCCAAATCCTTGAGCATCCACTTTGCTCTCTAAGGCAACAAGCAAGCCGTAGCGAGAGTTACGGTGGGGCAGCCTTCATGACTGCATTTGTATGATAGCAGTACAATGCAGTACATATTTATCTGGCAAAGATATGTAAACATGTCTGACACATCTACAAGTCATACCACCAACAGGAGGGTATGTATGAAACATCAGGAACTTCGACGAAACTTGATGCCGAAACTTCGACAACACCCATTCAGGCAGTCTCTCTATTCCACTACATACCCATGCGATCCGATCCGGTGCTTTCAAGTCCGTAAGGAATCCCAGCTGGACAAGTCCTACCTGCGCCACCGGCGATAAAATAAGAAGGCCCAGGAGGGAGAAATGATTTCCGATTTTCGAACGACTCAAGATACTTTTAAAACAACTAAAACATACTAAAACCATCTAAAGCCACATTGTGATGTGTATTGAATTGAACATTATCGAACCTACTATATAGATCTCCGGTTGGAAGTTGGACCCCCCCCTGAATCTTCACGCAAAAGGACGAAAGTAGAAGTGCCCTTGCTCCTAGTAGAGTAGCGTCCGATCGTTCCTAGTAGCGATGCCCTTTGTTCCTAGTAGCGATGCAGCGATGCCCTTTGTTCCTACTAGCGATGCCCTTGTTCCTAGTAGCTTCTTGTTACTACTAGCGATGCCAGGAGCCCCGTTCGTAGCGTCCGATCGTTCCGTTCGTAGCGATGCCCGGTGTCGTCTGCCATTAACTCACAGGTCCCAACTCAGTCGGTCGCTCAGTCATCGCTGTCGTCGCAACAAAGAACCACTGGGCTTTGAGACCTCTGAGACAGACTATTGGTTTCAATAGTCATCCACTTCCATGGACACTTTCTATTCAATTCGATGTGTCCGGATGCTATCGGGCTTTCGTCATGTCCCACATGACGACGAAGAGCACAGCGGCGACGAGTCACGTGATTCGACTCTCCAAGCGCGACGCCTCCCGGGAAGCCCGACGACCTTTTGTCGTTCCACGAACTTCAAGTAGTGATACTTGGTGCAGTTCAAGCGCCTCGGTGTGTCTTTTCGCGACTTCCACGAACTCAAACTCCGGTTTTCGGCCAGTGTAAGGCGGTGTTGCGAAGCAGGCACGGCGGCGCCGCTTTCCTTTTGTTTAGACTCAGAGTGTGGAAGCGAGCTGGATCTTCTTCCATGCGGTGACCTACATTGATGTGTGTGGTGGCATGTGTTTCGGTGAATCAAAAACAAGCAACTGCAGGTCCAAAAGAAACTTGAAACAGAACATAATATAACTGATGGGATGCATAGTGTTTGCTGCAGGCACAAGATGCCACAGCGAATGCTATGCTTCCCCACTCCAGCTCTTTCTTCCGCCAGTCCTGGTGCAAGAAACCACTTCGGAAGGGTGTTTTGATGCAGGTTGGGAAGAACATCTTTCTCTACGACACCTGTAAGATGGTAGGCCTACCATCTGCGCAGAGCTTGCTCCGTCCAAACTGGAGCCATCCACACCTTATATGTGAATCCATGTGTGTGTGTGTGTCATGGTTGAAATCCCTGAGGTCGGGCAGGATCTTCTCATCCTTCCCAAGGAACTAGGGAACCAGGCGGGATTGTGAGTGCAACAATCCCTATATGACTTAATCATAAAAATTCTATGCAAAATGAAAGGACCAACCTCCCGAAGGTGTTCTCCCTCCCAAACGGACCCGCTTCATGTCTCCTCGGCCTTCTCGGCTCTGGCCCATTTGCGTGGCGTCCTGGGTGGATCGAGAGGGGCGACGGCACCGACCGTTGCATGTGTACTCGACGCAATCACAAATGCTGGTCCTAGGATTGAACTCTTGCATCTATCCCTAAGATCTGATAAATCTGTAGGCATATGCAGTATCTTGCCAACATATTGATCCTCAAAGTCTACAATCAATGCTTAAAACCGAGCACTTATCGCTTAAGCTCCTGTCAGGCATGGCTTAATCTCTTCCGGACTTGTGGATATCTAATCCTAGAACCCAAACCATTGTCATGAGGATGTGTTTCTTTGATTGTTGATCAGCAAGAGGGTGACATTGTGGAAGAAACATCCTACCATCATACCCAGCACCCACGGCAAAACCCAGCGTTCATCCACGATGGTCCGACGGTCACCCGGCAAACAACTTCTCACGAGCTGAACCGTTGGAGGCCGACGAAAGTCGAATAGTCGAGGTACGTCACCAGCCAAGGCGGGGAATCGTCATCACTCTGGTTTTGATCATTCTGTTTGGGGCGCCCAGCACCGTCTGCTGGAAAGCTGGACTCCTCTTAAAAGAATCATATCTTCGATACCCTCTTCCATACTTGGGAACCACATCGTGATGAATATCAGCTCTGCATCGCACTGTGAGGAACGGCTGCCGTTGTACCTTCCCAAAAAGTACATGGGAGTTGCCCAGTCCACTCATGAATCGAGCTTCAGAGCCTTTTTATTATGTTCGGAATATCTGTTTTGTTCTCCTCCCATGGGCTCTATGGGCTCTGTGCTCGAGCGGAGCGAGGAAAAAACATGCTCCAGTCCAGCGAAGCTGGATTGAGCTGGTCAAAAGAAAGGACTGGGCTTCCCCGACTTCCAGGTTCCTTCACCTGCCAAGTCTGACAGCACCCCAGGAACGCCAGCAGCTAGGTACGCTGAGCTAGTCGCACCCATGCATGCGGCCAAGAGAAACACCACCCACTGGAAGACCACTGCATGTTTTGCAGATGTCTGCAGGGTATTTCCCTTGTTTACCCGGCTTTCATGATCTTTCGTCATGTCATCGCCCCAGAAACTGTCCTCACCCAATGGCAACTGCTTTCTGCACGGCAACTTGCCTGTTTCGCCCAAACGAGTCCTTTCTTTCCGCTGCCGCGGGTCGCGCGGCATGGCGGAAAGAGATGAGCAGAGCTGGGAATCGAAGGTGATCAGGCTGTGTCAATGTAGAAACTGACAGAAACAGACCTGAACTTGAGGCTCCGGATGATTTTCTATCTCATCAGGCTGTGTAATGAAAACATATGAAAACATCTCCAGATCCGGAGGCCAATGTTGAGAGGTCCAGCTAGTGAACGAGCCCGAAAAGCGCTCCACAAGCCTTTGAAGCTGTCTTGCGCCGAGTGTGATTCGTGCAAAAGCACCTAACAGTGACCAAATCTATGGTGTTTCTTGATTGAGTGACTGCTGTGTTTGCTTTTTGCTCCATGATTTCAGGCTTTTTATGAGTCACCAAGAGTTCGATGTTTTCTTTCTTGCCCGGTCCTAACGTTGGATCTTCCGCTTTAACGACAGTAACTCGGTGAGTTGAACGCTGTCATAGTCTGTTCATCTCAGCTGGTTCACAGAGCGTTGCCTTGTCTGTCTGTCCTTGTTGCGGAGTTCGACAGTGATCGGGACGAGGAGTCACTGAAGCCGAGCCGATGTGCAATGTCTCGGAGCAGGGCGGCGATGTCTTGGAAAACTCCGTCCACCGTCCGTCGCGTTCGGCGCCTAAGTACCACGGTAGCGATCAACTGTACCTCCCGGATCTCCTGGGCCCAACACAGCTGGGACCACCGTGTTGTATCACCCCTTTCCGCCATGCGGCCGGAGATCAAGTGCATCCAGAAGTGGCTGTGCCATTGATCCACATGGAGTCTGGCCTCGGAAGTGAACGAGCTCCGTCCTCGGTGGGAAGCCGCAGGTTAATATACAGTATATATATCATACATAAACAAACACAAAAATAAACAAGTTGATGAAACTGTGAAACAAATGCTTTCGGAAAGCAAGTAATTAATGAGAGGAATGCCAAACATTGACATTGCTAGACTATATTTTGGTTCTTCAATCCTTTCTTCACATCAACTGCCAGGTGTTTTGACGGTCCCTCCACCCCCCAAAGAAAATATTTGTGTACATGGCCTGTCTAGCGATTGAGTGAGGCCCCAAGTGCGCTTTACAGGGATTGGGTGTTCCAGCTAGGCTTTCCCTCAAAAATACGATCGGACACAACAAACCAATTATGAAAGAGACATAAAGAGACCCTTATCATTTTACACTGTTGCCACGTATTGTATCTTAATGTTCCTAGAATGCCACTGCAAGAGAGCGCTTCTTCTGGTATAAATGGAGAGGGTGGTTTCCAGAGGCATCCCGTGCAAGTCTGGGCAATCGTTTGGTGATCGTTCCGGCAACTCTTCAACGAAGTCACACACACACATCATATAGTTTGAGTCCCCCTATTGTTTTGCAGGGTTTGGAGCACTTGAGCACTTAATCAACTGGGCATCCCAAAGGAGCGGATATTCAGCGTATAACCATTGTTGTCCTTCAAATGACCGGCGCCTCTCCACAAGGGGCCAAAACCCGCCCGAAGGATCCCGCGAGCAGCAGAGTGGACGACGCTCGCGTCGGCACCGCTCGGGGTCGGCCTGTGATCCAGCCGATCCAATGAAGAGCGTCGGCCAACTCTTGCTGAAGCAATGCGGCCTGCACAGCTCCGACAGGTTCTCATCGTCGTCGCCGCACAACGCGAGAGAGGTCGCGTCAAGCCCGTGAAACGGTGCCGAGAACGGGAGAGACGAACACAAAAGCTGCTCGCGGACGAACGTTTTCTGGTATGGCAATATAATGCAATAAGGGGAGGTGTTTGCTGATTCTCCAGCTTTGGACAAATAGCAAGTGCTAAGCTCCTTTCTCTCTCTCTCTCTCTGTGCGAACCAAACAATACTCGGGGAGGGCAAGTTAAGTGGACTCATTATTGCTCGTGGTCTGACGGGGATCTGCTCAAGCCATGGTCCAAGCTGGAAAAGCAGCAAAACTCTTGAAGTAGTGGAAGATTACACATGAAACCAAAGGTTTCAGGAAACCTTGCTGAATTTTGAGCCACCAAGTCCAAATTCTTGGCAAGCTGTGTGCCCAATGCTTCATGTGCCACCAGCTTCGCTACCCAGTCCACGGTCCGATACTCGATCAATTCTATGCTACAAAAACGCATGAATTGGTTGATACCGAAGGCCCAAAGCCCTGCCAAAACCGATCCGATCCGCCGATCCGCCGATCCGCCGATCCGCGGTCCGCCTCATGGTCTGCTGCAGGTAGCAATGGGTGAAGTAACGAGGAAGCTTTAGGTATTCCAAGAGCCTCTGCAACGTTGCAACTCCAACTTCCCACTGAGGGTGTGTATTAAAAACGAGACCATTCAGCTCGGCCTTTGTGGAAGGTTCGGGAAAATGGCCCTATGACTGATGTCTATATTGGAAAGATTGAAAAGATACGAATTGCGTGGCAGATTTACCACTCTCCACTTGGGGTGACAGTCTTTCCTTTCGCTTCGTGAGGAGTATACAGACGTACGTGTTCATCGTCCGAGTCTACTGGTCCTGGTGGTGCCAGACGTTGTCCACGAAAAAAAGGGGATGACCTTTGAATCCAGCCACCCTCACTGAGGGTGGCTGGATCCTTTAATAGTGGGGATTCATTGGGCTCAATCCCTCATTGCGTGAACGAGTCGCACCCAGTCAGCACCCGTCCGCAACACTCGCTTAGGGCCCGCACCCCGGGAGCTTGAGCGGAAGGGACACGTCGTACAGGTACCTGGACCGTGGTCGCGAGAAGCAAATGAATCGAAAGTGGGAAAGTGTTAGATGGTCACGAATGAAACAAGACTCTAAACGACTCACATGTGCATCTTCGTGATTCTATTACTCAAGGAAGTGAACACATGTGTGTAATATGTGTGTCATTAAGTTGTTGAATGTTTTTGAGCACCCCCTTTTTTCGGACCACCGACCAAAGCATTTTGGGATGTTGGAGCGAGGAAAGCTGGCCTTTCAATTCACGCATATTCACGCTCCGCCGCTCGACCAACGATTCCATCAAGACCCGATTCCTTGGGACCGTACAAGCCCTCACACCCTCCGCGCTGAAGCTGTGAGAGGGCCTTCGATTCCGGAAGGTAGCAGGAAACTTCGGCCCAGCGAGGCAAACCAGGAAACATCAAATGAATCAACTAGCACCGCTCACCTGGCATGCTTGGGGCTGTGGATGTGGCATAGGGCATGAAGCAGTGAATTGCATGTTCTTCTTTTAGGAAGACTCCAGGAGGTTCATTTGTAACATAAATTTCTGCCACGAAAAATAACAGCTCGTTTGGTGCAAAAAGAGGACGACCCTGAGATTTCTGCTCGTTGTCTCAAAAAGTGCTCGAGCAACAATTGCTATAACCACCAGAATGTCCATTCCCTCAACAACTGATCCCCCTGCACCGTCTGCCACACCACATCGCGGACTTCATTTTTGCCTGGGTGCCTCAGTAAGGTCTGGGCTGAGGTCAGGGACCAAACTGGCGCTTATAGAGCATAAGGATCCTTTGAAAAGATCTCAAGCATGTAGTAAACTGGTGAGTGCGTCTGCTGATGCGAGAGCATCTCCCAACAAAGTCTTCATCCTGCCAGCAAGCCCAACCTTGGGTGATCTATATTTCCAAAGAAAGCTTCTGTTGATTGAAACACTAGTGGATCCATAGAAACAAGTGCACTTGAAAACTTGTTGAAGCCACAGCTCAGCAGGCTTAATGGGTTGAGGACATACGCTGCATGTTTGGTGATGCCATTGAAGGCAAGCTCATACCTGCATGGGTGACATGAAAGGGTTGTGGGCGGCTCCATTGATGGTCACTGGATCCGCACACGCACATAAGAAATATTCTTTAAGCTCATTCAAGAATCGTGATGTGGTCATGCATATGCAGCTTGGGCTTGGTCCGATAAAGATGCAAACCCATGGAAGTGCAAAGGCTTGCGCAGCATCCATAGCCATCCTTTCATGCAACAAAACCACAAACGCAGATGGGTCCACTCATAGCTTTATAAGAGTCGTACTATGGCACATACTCAAAAGTTATAACACTGGCCCTGAAATCCAAGGATCCGTAAGGCCCCATGCAAAGTCAACCAACCGTGGCACTTCAGAACCTGGAATCCAGACCCCATATCGGTATAGGCTTCTGAACCACTTGTTTCCAGAGTCCGCTGTGTACTTCACGGCTTGGAAGAGGTTCACCTTGTCAGGTTCCTGGGCCAGGAGGTTTTAGAGAAGTCCCCATTGCACAAGTCTTTAGTCAGATACACCATCCCACTTAGGAAAAGGACTCCACTCAATTACTCTTGGGCTCTAGATCTTCCAGCGAAATTTCTTTGCAAAGATGGGACAGCCATTTGTGAATCACAATGCAGTCATGACCTTGGCCTTGAAGCCCAGGGTATTGCTTTAGCCTAAGCCATGGTGGCTGGGGTACCGCTTGGTGAAAAAAACAATTTGCATTACTAGCAGCATATATATAACATATTTTATCTCTATATATAAATTTGTATTAAGAAAGCGCATGCTAAGCAGAAGGAGTGACGTTTGGATCTTGAAAGTGCGAAGGGCAAACTCTGTGATTTTGCATGTCTCTTTGTTTTCCCAGCGCCATCGCCTAAACTGCTGGTAGGCAACCTCCAACCTTGCACCCATGGATCTTCCCGGCCAAATCTTCATTTGGGCAAACAATATGATGGTGGATCCGCAAAACTCCTTCCCCGTCCCAATCGCCCAGATGTGGGCGAGGTCACTCCTGATCCGCTTTGCTTCTGCAGCACCTGGCACATCTAAAAGCAACGCTCGTTTTGCCTTCCACGGTGATGGACCTCGTCCATTCCATGACTTCAAGGCCCCATTCCGCCCCAGATGCCACCAATCCTAGCTGAGCGAGCTTTGGGAATAAGCTTTCATATATATATATATATGTTCCTCAGAAATTAGATACGGGACCAACCAAAAACGTGCTCTAGGAACCTAGGAGCTGGTTCATCGCAAAGGTGGCAGATTCTTTTTGATGTCGGGCCTGTCTTAAGGCCATAGCTCTTCCGTAGGGCAGGCCAATCTCCCTTACCCCCAACGTATATCAGGTAAAAGACTTGGGATTCTTGCGACTTTGTCTCGTCTCCAACTACCTAACTCGCTGGTTCAGCCAACACGACTCTTTATAGAATTTCTTTCAACCCCACAAAGAACAACAAATGAAAGATTACCTCTTCAGTTTGGACTCTTCAACCCCAGTGTAGAAGCATTCAGTGAGATCATCAACCACAAACTTGGCCATTGAGTCCAGGGTTCTGTCATTCTTTGCATACATTGTGGCCGGCATCATTGAGGCCAAAAGCCGTGTGCACAAGGAGCTCCTTGGCCGAGGCACCATGGACATCGTGGGTAAAAAAGAACATCGAGAAGGGTGCACTTTGGGAAGAAAAACACATGACATAGTTGAAAGCTTGCGAAAGAAGAGGCCCAGTTTCCCAGACATGTTGGTATGGTCAATGCCAGCAGGACCCACTACCATTTGGAAGCTGTTGATCAAAATCGGAGTTTTCCCTTTTCCTCGGCCCTCATCACCGTGTAAGCAAAAGGGGAGGCATCGGCCCCACTCATCAGGGTGGTGGTGTTCAAAAAAGGGATGTTCGCGATCTAATACATAATACCTTTGCCAGAACTCAGAGTACACATGAGTATAGGTGTCAACATCATCAATGGAACAGCCCCCAAGCAAGATATGGGGATGGTGGTTCAGCAAATATGCAGCCCAATCTTTTAGGGCTATCATGGGGTAGTCGATGAAGACCTCTTGCACTTTGGGACGGTGCTGCAGAACACACAATGGCACCATCGAAACTTTCACCGGCAGCCTCAAGCCACCCCGCTCCAAGCGATTGTGAAAGTTGCGCGAAATGTTTCGGTAGCTCTTCTTGGATGTCCTTCCTGAACGGGCTATCAAATCAAGGGAGCGGTCCCGAACACCTTAGGCGGCCAATCAATGCTTATGTCATGGAAACCAAACACACTTTCACAGAGTACGTTGCTTTGAAATCACTTTCCTTTATATAATTGTCGAGGGGCCCAATCTCTTCATACGGTTGGAAGCAACGCGGGCCAAGCGCACAACTCTGTAGGCGCTGTCAGCCTGGGCACTGTGCAGCATGAAACAATAGACTTTTCCAGGGATGTATGCAGAAGAGTGGCTCCAGTTTCAAAGCTCCGCAGGAGCTCATCCGCCAGGTCTGAAGGTGTTTGACTCGAGCGGTCGTCGTCTTCACCTGCAACGTGCACATTGTACATATATGTTTGGTTTGGGGCTGTCCTGGCCTTTTTCAGAATCTGAGTCGTCTTGCTCTGTCCAGGCACCTTCAAGGACACAGGACCCAGATTATGTAAACATGCAATGTGCAGCCACAAGTGGGTCCTTCCAAGAAGTGCGGGCAAAGATCCAGGAAGATTACAAACTGCACATTGCACAAAGTAGGCACAGTTTTTACTGCGCAAGCTCTCTCACACAAATCATGCGTGTACCGTGAGCGTTTGGCAAAAGACCAATTCCAGCCTCTTGACTGGTTGCCTAATTGGATCCCCTTCATGCCATATGGCATGAAAACAACCATGCAAAAAGCAAGCAGACCTAGTTTGGCTCTTCTACTTCATCCTTGGTCTTAAGGGCTTTTCCCTTTGCCTTGTTCTTGCCCTTTGCCTTGCATTTGGGTTTGCCTTTCACCTTTGGTGAGGCTTTTGGAGCGGTGCGCCGTTTTGGCGAAGCAGCAGCCTTGCCAGGTGGGCCCGACAAGGACTTCACATTCCTGCTGGAAGGGACGAACGGGGAGACTCATGAGTGGCACCGACAAGGAAACCCGTCCTGGCACGAACAAGAAGGTTGTTCAGCGCGACATCGGTCTTGGTCACATCTTTCATTTTCTCCTTCATGGCATTGGCGTCACACCTTACACTCACCAACCGCATATGTGAGAAGACTGTTGTATGCACACGGCAGGAGGTATCTAAGTCTCAAACGCTCCAACCAAAGCATCGGCTTGAAGCGTTGAAAGATCATCGTATTGGGTGTTCATCATAGCAATGATGTTCTCCAGATTCTTGCGCAACCTCATGGAATAAGTGTGGGGCCCATTTACCACCATTAACAATATATAGCGGTGCGTGTACAATATATTTATTGCATATTATGTCGACATGGAACTGGGTCGCCTTGGCACAGGTCTTGGATTGCAACTTCTCCTAGGGAGCAGGTAGGATCCAAAGAAACTAGCTAGATTTAGCAGTGTCCTCACCTTCTCAATATCAGCCTGATCAATCTTCCGACCAAGTGTTTCCAGAAAGTGGGTGATGACGTTCAGCGGGCTGCTGTTTTCTTGAAGTGACGGAAACACAAGCCTAAGCTGTCCAGAAATGGTTTGCCAGTGTCATAAGTAGCTCATTGAATTGTCACCTTAGATCTAAGACATGCACTTGAAACTTGCTCCAGTCCCGGGCTGAACCGTACCCTCACCGGCCGCTTTGTCGTCCACCTCTGGAAGCAGCTTGGACATGCGATCAGGGATCAAGCCTTCATCATCTAGAAGAGCACCCTCAGGATCCTGGCAGATGGCAAGATGAATACTTGGGCACATAACATCATTTGGAACATGGAGTCTTGCAAGTTCAACCTGGTCGTATTTATGGTCCTCCATCTCCATGGTTCCACGCTGGGTGGTCTCCATGCCTACTTCATCGCTGAACTTGAAAAAGTCTTCAATGACGATCTTAATTTCCTCCTCCTTGTGGATAGGGTTGATTCTCCACAAACCCCTGGCTTTCGCCCACTCCCACGCAGCGTCAATCATTTGCCTCAAGTGCATGGCTTGCAAGCATATATAGTTTATAAGCAATTGAAAAAGCATGCGCACTAGGCATCCTACTTGGTCCAGTGCTTCTCTTTTGCCAGGTAGTGTTTGGTCACCCACCCACCCTGCTTGGTGTTGTCAAGCGAAGACTTCTGGTAGCGTGCAATCTCACATTCAACAGCTTTGAACGATCCATTCTTCTTGAGCATTTCCTTCAGCTTCTCACCTAAACAAAAAC